GACAGATGCCAACCAAAGAGTCGGGAAACACAACATATATATCTATATATGTCTAACCACTTGACAGATCCGCACACCAGTGGAATCGAACCCCCGATCCCAGGAGACTTAGAACTGAAAAGACAGATGCCAACCAAAGAGTCGGGAAACACAACATATATATCTATATATGTCTAACCACTTGACAGATCCGCACACCAGTGGAATCGAACCCCCGATCCCAGGAGACTTAGAACTGAAAAGACAGATGCCAACCAAAGAGTCGGGAAACACACACACACACACACACATATATATATATATATATAATCAAAATATAAGTATATTTAATATTGAATTATTATTGAGTAATTAATTTTAGAGGATAAAGTTTTTAATGTAATATATGATATTAAATATCATAGCTTAAAATACAATTGATTATATGCTTTTGAGTTCAAAATACAGCTCCCCATATGTGCTATCAATCTCCAAAAGGATCAAACTCAGGTCAGGGAGTCTTACGACCAACAATACAACTACCTACCAACTTGCCACCCAAATGCAATATATATATATATATATATAAAGATACAATGTAGAAAAAAAAAATTAATTCTTTCCTAAAAATTATATGATTTTGAATGGAATATAATTTATATGATTCCATATTTTGATCAAACAAAAGCTTGATAAAATCAAAGGGCATTTACATACATCACACCCATTTCCTACATATTTACATATCTAACACCTAACATTTATATCACTCAAAATTTTCACATCACATAAGAAAATCACTACTTTTTCTTTTACAAAGTGACATAATTTTTTTCATGCATTAAATAAGATGGCATATATGTAAAAAAGCAAAACTTGGATGTTAGATATGTAAAAGTAATTTATTCTAAAAGTAAAAGATTAAATTATTTTCTGGTAATTTCAGAAACTACACAGATTAAGGCATGCATTCATGCCATCTAAATCCCAACAAAAATAACAAATACAACCCTAAGAAAATCATAAATGGCAGTCCAACCCCATCTCAAAATTTACAAAAGCTACTCATCCTCCTCATCCCTAACAATCCTCAGTTAACCCTCCAGCTACCATAAATATGTCTGAAACATTACAAAGTTCTGATTCTGCCATTTTGCCCCCTTTGTATCTACATCTACATTTCATCACCTACTAAGAAAGGAGAAAGGAAATAATGAATGAATCTTGGAGGAGCACACCAAATGCCATTTCTAACCCTGCAAAATTAATCTCATTTTTCTCTACAACAACAAAAAAAAAATCATCACATATTGCAGCACTGAGGCTTTCCTTCTTCGAGCTTGTTCCACATGCACATCATTTGTCGAGGCGACTGGTAGTGAGCGGTGAGGTAGTCGTCGATGCACCCAAACTGGCAAAACTTTACGCTGTGGACGTACTCGACTGGCCTTGAACCGTTGAACTGCTCGACCCACATGCCCATGCTCACGTCCTCCATCTTGAACAGCTGCGTATTATCGCATTTGTTGTAAACCGAGAAGCCGATATCAACTTGTTTGTGTTTGTAGAAAGAAGGATTTACATGCATACCAAACAATTCTTATGTGTTTGTATATCTAACATGTAAATTTTAATCTTAAGGCTCCATTTGACATCACTTTTGTTTTCATTTTTACTCATGTTTTTTTAAACATATTTGATTAGAATTCTTTTTATATGTTTTTTTCTTTTATTTTTGAAAACAAATCACCTTTTTAAAAACACTGAAAATACATTTAAAAGATATTTTAAGTGTTTTGAAAAGCAACTACGATAACCAAACATGCTTTAATTCATATTAAAACATAAACAAAATAAAATAAAAACAAAAAACAAAAGTGATCTCATATGTGGCCTAAACATCATCACATCGGAAATATCACTAATGTTTAAAAGTGGAATACTTCATGCACGTCTTGAGATAATTATGACACAAATGTGTGATTTGCATGTAAAATTCCCTTATATAAATTATACTTTAATTGCCTCTATTTATAATAATATCACTCAAAAACTAGCCAAATTCTTAAAAGATTTGACCATATGACACCAAAGGCATAAGTTCAATACTTTACAGTTTAAAATTTTCAATGATGTTATGTAAATAAGGAAGATTTAGGTGGTACATAGAAATTGAGTAGTAGTTATGCAAAAATTTAATGTTCTGTGCTAGATAAGGTGTAAATCTTCCTTTTCCAAAGTATGATGACACAGGTCTTTTGGATGAGTATAAAACTTACCCTTAATTTATGTTTCTCAAACTCTGATACAATGAAACTTGCAATATCTGAAGACACCACATAGCCAGGACCGTTTGCATAAGGAGGATAATCTTCTTCTGGCCATTCCTGAATAGTATTAGAACCAACAAAAATGAGCAAAATCAATGAGAATCGCAATACTCATAATTTCAAAATAAGTTGCCTGAAAAAATAAAAGTATTCAACGATTCATGCTGTCATTTAAGCGTATGTTGGTAACCAAACGATAAATCGAAAGATGAGAAATGAATCGTATATGATTGAGCATGAAATCCTCATCAATGGAGTTCGAATCGAAAGACATAACAAAAATGCACCAGAAATGAATCGTGCATGAAATCCTCATCAACGGAGTTCGAATCGAAAGACATAACAAAAATGCACCACTCATTTAAACATATGTTGGTAACCAAACTATAATATAAAAATGCTCATCTTTAGATATGAGCCTACAAACACTTATGAAAATTAACGGTTTTGCAATTAAGATTATTAGTGTTATATACAGGTTAAATAATTTTCTCTATGATTAAGTTTTCCGCAGAATTCAATTTAATCAGATATTGAAGTAATAAGTAGTTATATAAGCTGCAATTTTAAATGATTCACACAACATGGTTGCTAGTGTCCAGCAGCATGTCAGACCACTAAAACAACTAAATAATTGAGAGGGTGTTTGGTAGCATACTTTTAGTTAGGATTTATCGCTCGATTGAACAAAAATCCAGCCAAACGCCAAAAAAAAAAAAAGGAAGCTGAATACGACGCTCCATAAAATCCATTTTCCTCCCCGTTCCGTCAATTTTTTGAGAAAAATCCGAATTTGTTAAATCCAAATATTTGATGGATTTAACAACTTTAACTTGGGAAAAAAACAATAGCATAGCTCAACTGAATTAAAAAACAAATATGTTTCAAAAAAAATAAAAGAAAATACAAAAGCAAAATAAATCAAACATTAACTTTAGCTTTCAAGTCGAAATCAGTTCAATCTCTCTTCTTCTATCCTAATCTTCACCATTCCTTGGAAGGAGATATTACATGTATACCACACAATTCTCATGCATTTACATGTCTAAAACTCAAATCTTTAATATAATATAAAAAATACTACTATTATTAACTTTTTAAAATGAAATGCACCTTTTCATGCAAAGGTTTATGACACCCAAGTGTTAGATAAGTAAATATCAAACTTTAGGATCTAGATACGTAAATAGATAAGAATTGTGTGGTATATATATGAATTTCACTTCTTAGAATCATAATTTACTTGTAGTTGGCAGTAAGGTGCCTCTATTCATTCATAAACACCTCCTCAGAGCATGGACAAAATAAGCAAAAACATGTGATTCAATATCAAGATAGGTAGTAATGTAGGCATAGGCACCATGCGCCTCTACTCGGGTTAAATTAATCAAGTCATGATGCGGATTTGGGCAAGTTCCAAGGTACTATTAATTGTTAAGCAGACTTGAATCAAACAAAATTCAAAACTCGCTTATTTAAAATTCAAATGATAAAAAAGTCTCAAGGTTGACTCCTATAACTGTCAACTTCTTGACGAGAACAACTCGCCAGAGCAATCCCCAAAACAACTCGCCAACCATACTTGGTATTTATATCAAGAAACACAGTATAAAATATATAAATATTTGTCTGTTTGAGGATGAGGTGAGTATGAATATATGAAAACAAATATATTCACATATGAATAGAACTATACAAAAATGCTTCCACGAACATGCTAAAAATGAAAATTGTAGCCATCCATCTATGCCACTGTAAACATGCAAAAGGTATAAGAAAAAGCATCACCCACTTTGAGCAAATATATAGATGAATAAGCCCAAGGAACACAAAAGAAACAAAGGAACGGTGTGCCCTTTACAATGTCCAAACATTTGTTTAAAATTTATTTGCACAAAAGTTGTCAAAAGCAAAAAATAGCTAATTTAAAACAGAGGGTCAACCGTACCTCATATGTAACAGCCCATTTTCCATACCGTAAAGGCTTGTGATAGTAGTTGATATTTCCCACATACAAGCTTTTATTAACCGGGACTTTCTTGACTTCGTGCATCACCGACTTAATTCGAACAAATGTATCATCATCACATTTCATTATGTACTTGGCCTTCACCATGCGAAACTATTGGAGAGAATAAAACAAACAAAACTATGAACAAAAAAACTAAACCTTTGATAAAAATTGCAAATCAAACCAGGAGGTCCATTTACCCCATATTCGCAAATTGCAATAGTTTTCAAGACCACAAGATCGTAACTATCAACATAAGGCACAATAACAATGTCACCAAAGTACTCTAACTCTTTTTTCAGCTCCAAGTTAACATCTTTCCTTCCATGCTGACAGAACAAGGTTCCAAAAATCAGAAACTAGAAAAGAAAATCATAAAACAAAAGATGAAGATGAAGAACAAAGAAATTACCAATGCAACGAAAAATCGTGCAACAACATTTGGTGATTTGCGGACGGATTCCATCCACGATTTCCTCACAGCCATGCGCTCTGCAAAATGATTGCCAGCAGAGAGGATGCCAATAAATAATTCCACGGGTCCTTCGGGCAGCGGGGGAGCCCGCCACTTGGGCAGCAATTCCAGGCTCTTCTGTGGGGCAAAACTAGGGTGTGATGAGGGTAATGATGCTGCAAATATGGATTGCACATCCAGATCTCCATTAATTGATAATCCAGTGGCATCCTCAAGCACAAAACTCTGAAAAAATTAAAAAAAAGAAGCATAAAATGAACCCATGAATTTCAAGTTTTGCAACAAAGAATTAAAAAAGGATGAAACTTTTTTCAGGAAAGTGGCTTACAGTGCGATAAGGGAAAGAGGTCACGTGCCTCCCATCGACATTGACATGGTAACCTTCGAGACCAGCACTAAGAGTCAGAACAAAGAGCTTGTCTTCTACGAAGGGATATGGCCACTCGATAGAGACCTCTTTCTTCCTGCCGATCAACCGATTCAACCACCAGGTCGTCTTTGATTCCTCTGAATGGTTCTGATCATCTCGGATCCATTTCTCACATTTCACCAGCCCGTCAACTGTGAAAGAATTTAAAAAAACTCATCAAATTACCTTCTACAACCTAGTTCTCCATCAAAAAGTTGCAAACTTCATGAAAAAACTCGGTAATTGGCCTCTAAAAGGAAAGAAATTTCGCTTTCTGTTTACTTCGAGAGGAAGAAAAAGATGAACTATTGTAAACAGACTACGTTGGTTTGACGGAAAAAAGCAAGTAAAGCCAATCATGAGAAATCTTCAGAAAGAAACATTTTTTGTCTTCTGAACAGACTGAAGATTTATCTAAAGAACATACGAATTGGAAGAAAAAGAAAGAACAACCACCATAACCCCACCAGTAGAAACCAAAAAAAAAAAAATCCAAACTTTTAACACTCACCGGTCTCCTCATCGGCTCTCGACTTCCAACCTTCACATCGCTGCGCTGTTCCCCACTGCATGCGATAACACGTGTTCTGCTCGATCACCGGCCTTCCACTCCAATCCCCTTTCAACCTCGGATTAAAGTGAAGAATCCTCGGCGGATCCTCCCCATCCACCGTCTTCAACCCCTGCAACTCCATCATGAACTGCGACACCATCACAGCTTCATCGCCGTCCCTCAATATCGCAATCTTCGGGTCATAATCCGCATGCGCGCGGTACGGCTTCGCTACCAGAGTAATATGCGATCCCAACGTGAGGCCGCACGGCAGAATCATCACTCTCCCCTTCACAAAATCCTCCCCCTTAATCGTAATCGAATGAGGGCACGTCTCCTCCGTCCTGTTCTCCTCCGACGGACCCGAAACCCTCCTAGACCTCAACTCCTCAAACAGCTTCCGGCCCACCTCCCACGCATCCCTCGCCGACATATGCAGCTCGGAGAAGTTACCATCGGCGAGCTGTGGTGGCGGATAGAATTTAAGACCAGAGACTAGTGGATAAAACCGACGCAGTCGAAAAGCTGCAGGATGATTGCGGGGCGCAGCCGATTCAGAGAGGCGGTGAGGTTCCTTAAAGGGACGGATAGGTGCGTAGTTCGCGTCGGTTTCTTCCTCCGTGGCGAGCGCAGCGGCAGTGGAAGCACCGCCGGCGGGAGGGTAGATACGGCGAGATACAAAGGGGAACTCGAAGAAGAGGAACACGGCGTAGAGAAAAGCGAGGAAGAGGAGGATCTGGAGAGAACGTTGCCGGCCAATGGAGACTGCAAGCTCGAACTTTGATCGGCGCATCGTCCTCCCCCGACTCGATTTCGAACCCTAGGTGGATTCGATCCGGCGAAAGGGAGGAGTAGAAGTAGGGTTTGGAGAGGAGAGGGAAAAGGTCCGGTTAAACTGCTGACGAAAACCCTAGATTTATTGATGGGAGCGGGGGGGGGCGGAGAGATGCGGAGCCGAGGAGGTAAAGCAGCAGAGGGGGGGAAGAAGCACCGAAGAAGAATGCTGCAGTTTTCGTTAATAAAATAAAATAAAATAAAATAAAAATATATTAATTAATGCATTCGTACTAAAATGTAAATTCCAATGTTCAAATAATTCGTGCCGCTTAATTTTTTTCTTTTTTAAATCTAAAAACATTAAAATAATTTTTTAAATGATATATCGCACCGCCTCTCTTTTTAAGATCTCTATTAGATTTAGGGCATACGATTTTTGTGAAGAAATATTACATCATGACTCCTAACGTAGAATTATATTTGGAATTCACTGATATGCGTATACATGATTTTAAGGAAACGCGCGTGCTTTCCTGTGATCCTGCCCTGTAACACAAGAGAATATTTCTCATGTGTTATTCTGCGTTATTCAGGTGCTATTGTTGTGGTATTGATGTGTTATTGTATTATTATAACACCGAAAATATTCTCAGAACACAATAACACATGAATAGAATATCAAATAACACATGAATATCACCACAATAACACATGAATAATGTGTAATAACTCGGAGGGAATATTTCTCTGTGCTAAAACGATTTTTTTTTTATTTTTATGTTCCCTCCACATGACTTCATTTTATTGGACTCCGAACGTATCTCTACGTTAGGAGTCCTGATCTAATATTTCTCCTAATTTTTGTTATGAGGAAGATTGTAAATTTAGTATTGAAAACTTTTTTTTTTTGAAAATTTATTATAATTTTTTTTATATATAATAAGATAATAATTTTTTTAAATCTATTATATTTAAAAAATTAGCTTTTCACTATATAAATTTTAAAAATATTTTAAAAAAAAATATCTAAATATTCAATCCTCACTCATTGAGCTTTTGACACCGCCAACTATTAGTGTTATCTTATTGTTCAAGAACAACTCGTATTTGGCTCGCTAAGTATTTCATGTTCGATTCATTTGTTAAGTATGAGAATCAATGATAAACGAGTAAAACAAGAACAGATCTTTATTAGATTGTTTATGACTCAATTTAGATCAAACTAATTAAATCATTAAATATAATACTTACTATAATCTTTTTTATCAACTTTTTTATGCAAATTTAAAATTTTATAAATTTTATTATTTTTAAATTATTTGAGCTAAACTCAAGCAGAACACGGACAAATTATTCTCCAACGAATTTTGAAAAAAAAAATAACAGGCCAAGCACGAAGAAACACTGGGCTCGCTAAAGCTCGACTCGTTCACACCCCTGCCAACTATGCTGACGGTTTGAGTGAAATAAATTGAGGATTAGGTGAGTACGAGTAGAGCGAATAATATTTTGGTGTACTCATAAAGATATAACAAATTTGGATGTTAAATAAGTTAATTTATAGAAAGAAAAATGTTATATGAAAGATTTAGTTATTATATGTGTAATTATGATAGTATATTATGTCATATAAGCACATTTTCTTATACTTTCATGTATCAATAATAATCATAAATGGAATACATAGAAATTTACACAGAATGAATGATTGTAATGGCAACCAATACATGGATACAAATACATAAAATTTTGGTAATTTCTTACATATATTATACAAAGTTATATTAATGAATTCTGCCCATAAACATTGATGGATCATTTTTATTATTTTTCTTAACATTCTAGATGAAGTATGCAATCACCACAAGCTTTTTTAAATATGATTCTCAAGTAACCGTTAGATTGAAGTTCACCCTAATAGCATAACACTGAGTATACAATCTATGCAAAATTCAAAAGGTAGTGCTTGGCATGATATGTAGAGATGACACAAAATAATTCTAAAAGTGCATTAAAAATTTTTATAATTAACCATCATGTCATATCATTAGATTTCCTTTAATTTGGATATAGTAAATGATGTATTTTAAATAGAAATATTTACCCATAACTCTTAATTCTTATGTATTTGTGTACTCAAATACGGTTGTATAGGAATTTTTTTGCACATTATCGAGCCCACTAGTTGAAGTAGTTGAATCGAGCTCACCTGCCGAAGTGGTTGAATATATCTCTTTCACCCAAAAGGGATAGCCTAGCCCTCCTAAAGAGAAGCAATTATCTGGGATGATCATTAACACTATCAAGGGAGCAGGTCCATACATCTTTAAAAGCATCGTCAGACACAAGCATCACGGTCTTTTCATCAAGACACCATGGATGAGAGTCGTACAATACTAAAGATATATTTTATTATTTTTCTCTTTGTATAAAAGAAAAGTCAAGCAAAGAGATAGTGATAGCATCTCTCTCCCTCTCTCTCTCTCTCTCTCCAAGAAAACCTTGTAGCTCGGAAAACCTACGATGAGTCTGGTATTCTAGCTTACATGAGGCTAGAATTCAAGAGATAACTTTCGAGATCTCTTATGGGTCTTACATGATCTCTCTCTCTCTCTCTCTCTCTCTCTCTCTTATCTTTCTCCGCAAAAGTAAAATCTTCACCAGTTTATATGCACTCACGAATGATACAAGATCGTAAACCATAGAAAGATTCAATATCTTAAAAGGTGTAGTGAGCATGAAGTTTATTCTCATAATCTACAAAAAAAATATTCTTTGTATAAGGAGATACTAAAGCGCCAAAACTTATCACATCGCAAATCGTCATACAACGGAAGTGCACATGTCAAGTAGTAATGTGGTTAAAGAGTACCACATATTGATCCCATAGGAAAAGCGTAAAAATCATTTCTACAAACAAAAATACTATTTTACAAATTTAGCTAACCTAGCCTCACGTATCACAAAGAGAGTTTTAAATCCTATGGTTCTAGCAAAACAAAGCAAGGGGAAGACAGTGGAAACAAAAACCGCAGAAATATTTTGTGAGCCCTTCATAATGTATGAGGTTCGTGCCTCTGTGATTCGAGGATCGTAGCGATCGTGATTTTCTGAGATGTTTTCCTACGTGATTGTTGTCAATCTGAGATATTGTACTCCTTATGTCGATGACTAAGTCAAAAGAAGCCTAGAATCTATGAAGTTGAGGCTTCCTTAATCCTCATTACATTCCGCGTGATTTTTTTGATCCATTGGAATGATTGCAGAATTTCACTAGAATATGTCTACTCTCTTATAATTCTATGATTAAACCTTCATTTTCACTATGTAACGATTAGAGGTCGTAGTTTTACGAAATATTTTAACATCATAGTTGACTAGACTATGAGTAAATTAAGTTCAGAGGTTAACCAATAAGAAGGCCATGAAAGCTCAAAGAAAATAAAAAAATATTACGAAAAAATCACAATAAATCTACTACCCCCTACATCATAGAGACACAAAGAAGACTTTAGCCATGCATAGTTGAGAATTTCATAGACACAAAATCCACGCAGATCATCATTGTAAGAGATAAGCAAAAGTAACACTTACAACAAATGCTTGTTCTCTCCACCAAAGCAGCACTTCTCCTTTTCGTTGATGGTAGTCGATCCGGTCGGTGGATCGTGCCACCCTCCTCGTCGTTGTCGTTGTCGTTGTCATTGTCGTTGTTGTTATTTAGGGCTGTAAACGAGTCGAGCTTGAGCGAGCTGAGCCTCAGCTCATATTTGGCTTATTTCAATTTGGCTCGTGTTCGAAATGGCTCGTGAACAATGTGTTCGTGTTCAACTTGAATAACATATTCATGTTCATGTTTGGCTCGTGATCGGCTCGAAATAGGCTGGGTAGAATATAAAATGTCGCGAAATCACACAAATAATATTGTGAATGGCGGAATAACAACGATAACACAACAATAACACCCAAGAAATACCTGCAATAACACCAATAACACCATGGAATAACAATAATAACATTGTGAATGACGGAATAATATTGATAACACAGCGGGTGTTACTCGGTGTTATTTTGCAGTATTATTTAACACCAATAATACCACGAACGAATGACTAACACTGAAACACAACAGATGTTACTTGGGTGTTATTACGTGGTGTTATTAGTGTTATCGATGTTATTCCACGGTGTTACACACGAAATAACACCATTAACATAATATTGAGTATATTTATATTTTTATTTACTAATAAATTATTTATTTATTTTAGAGCCAATTCGAGTCAAACACAAGAGAACAAATATTTGTTCGTGTTCGGCTCGTTTATATTTCAAGCTTAAAATTTTGTTCGATTAGACTTGTTAAGCTTAACGAATGAGCCGAACATGAGTTGCTTAACAAGCCAAACACAAGTTGTTCGCAAACAACGAGCCATTTTAATAGCCCTATTCTGTTGTAGTGGAGTCGCCGATTTATTTACCATCGTATATCCTCTCTCTCTCTCTCTTTGATCGTGTGAATGATCTGAAAAGAGAAGAGATCCAAGAGCTGAGGCATAAAATGATGGGAACAAACAAAAGAAACACATAGGAAAAAAGTTTTCGTGAGGTGGACTTTGCGTAGAGAGCTCCAAAGCATTTGTCCTAGGTAAAATCGGCTCAGAATACTCTGGAGACAAAATTATGAAGAAACCCTTACAAAAACAAACCCCACAACCAAAGATTCAATTTTTTATACTTGTTATAAGATTTGTTTTTTTTCTATAGGGGCAAGCCCCTATAATTAATTACATCTTAAGCAATTATGAGTTGCTTAAGAAAACTCCCAATTAAGTTTGTAGCTCGTCCTCAGAAAATTTAAATGTTATTTTTTTCAAGGGGTTTCAAAGTCTATCCTAAGGGGGCAGATGCTTGAAGGCTCAAAAGAGTCATATCGAGATCTTGAACTATTCTATGATTTTATGGTTTTATCAATGGTTTAGTTGAGGTTCATCCCTTGCTCCAAGTTTTGAATGTCTGTCCCAGCAAAACAGAGTTAGCACACCCTATTAACATGAGAAGTAAATCTAGGGTGACGCCCGTCTTTTATCTTCAACAGCCCTGCAAAATAGAGTTAGAAAAAAAAGGTATTTTTTCAGTGATTTAGTTTTTTTATTTTTTTATTTTAGACAACTCGGTTATGATGCCCATG